CCCAGAGAGAAGAGAAAGCGTTGTCACCCCCACCGTAGTCGCCGAGAGCCGTACAAGCTCTCTGAATCCGATTCACCAAACCGATCAAGCTCTCCATTGTCGACATCTTCTCACCCTCACAAAAACACTAATGCCTAACCAGATCTGATGCTCAGCTCCAAAAATTCACACAAATTTTTGGAGGAAAAAAAAAATCTGAAAATAATAATTTAGGCAATGAAGATCTGAAGGTGGAAAGACGAGGGAAAGGTTTTGAAGTTGGCGACTTTGTGGACTTGGATTGAATGCGAAGTGAAAGAACGATGTTTTAGGGAGACAAAACTCTGAGCTTGTTGGACTGTTTTTGTTCAAATTTCAATTGTTCAAATTTGATCCAGAGGGGATCTCACATATGCATGTGTGTACTCACCGTGGGTTGTTCCAAGTGCTGAATCAGTTGTACCTTCCTCTTTAAACTTTTGAATTGTTATTCACTTTTCATTTTGAATGTAGTGTTACTTTTCTGAAAAATATCTAAGAAGGAATAGAATTGAAATTTCAAAAAGATTAATTATATTGTTTGATTGGTGGAAAAGAAATTATTAAAAAATATTGATTTCATTATTTGGTTGAGTTTGAAATTGTAAAGAATAATAAAACGAAATTCAAAAAGATTAATTATATTGCTTACCAAATAAGTTTGAAATTGTAGTAAAGCTTATTTGGTAAGCAAATGTAAAATAAAAATTAAATAAAATTTATTAAAGCTTATTTGGTAAGTAAATGTAAAATGGAAAGAATGGGTATTTTGAGTATAGAGATTGTTTTTCATGATGTAGAGGTATATGCATTTAACACTGTTGTCATTCAGTTTTTAACATCTGAAATCAGTAAGTTGTTCTCCTTTTTCAGATTTCAGATTTGCATTTGCATATATGAGATTAACAACAAGAACATGTTTTTAATTCTATAGGACACTGTTATCCATGCGCACTTACCAAAACTATACATTACATTTCAAGAGCAACAGGTTTATTGTGTAAAGAATTTCTTTGTCATTACCTACTTTTATACCTACAAAACTATCATGCATAAATATCGGTTAAAATTCAACTACGAGACAACAACAAAAGAATATAAAAGTGCAGGGTTTCCGTGGCATATGTATCGCTTGACGTCATTTTCCAGTCTGAATAGTAACCTACGATTTAATGAGAAAGAACTTATTGGTAAGTTTTGTGCTCTCCTAAATTTAATATGTTTTCTTCATAGTTTTCATAATTAGATTAAATGTTTTTCAAACCTAATATATGTCATTGGTCGGGTAGTGGACAAACATGTAAGCTAATCGATTTTACTATAGAGGATGCGAAGTAAGTACATATTCAATCTACAGTTTTTTTTGTTAGATTTTTAATGTACAGTTTGAGTATCATTAAACTACTACACACTTATTCTTCTTTATTGTAGGGTTAATCAACTAAGGTGTACGTTTTGGATGAATATATGGCCAAAATTGAGTCATTCTTTCAATCAAACTTCACTGATCATGTGGTTGTTTTGCTACAGTTTTGTAGGGTTAAACATGGTGTTAATAGTGAGTATAAGCCTTATTTTTAATATTGGTACTACTATTTTAATATACACATACACATACTAATGGTTTTTATTTGATTTTAGATGGAGAGGTGAGACTTTGCAGCTCCTATGATGTCACCCAAGTGTTGTTCAATCAAAGTTCTATTGAGTTTATCAATTTCAATGAAAGGTTTGTCTCATTTTTAGTTTTAAGATCTCTGTACTGTTTTATTTTTGAATATAAAAATGATTTCTCCAATTGTAGTGTTGCTGAGAGAGACCAGCAAACCCCCATGAGAAGTATTAACTCTATGTCTAGTCTGAGCTATAACAATGCACACGATGACTCCACAAGTCAAACGATGGAGGTTGTGACTATCAGTGAGATGTATGATAGGCAAGAGGTAAATGTAAAAATAAAAAATAAAATAAAATAAATGAAGGAAAATAGTGTTAAGGTTGAAAAGACATATTAATGCATTTTGGTGGATGTTTCTATGTTGTGGTTTTTGCAATGAGATTTTTTTTTTTATTGTGGTTTGTATGATGAACAATTGTGCCTTGTGGCACTCTTAATATGAACTCCTAAGGATTGGTTTACATTGTCTATAGTTGGATTGTTTTAAATTTAAGTTTGCAGGAACCATGCCAGGAGTCATATTCACATTAACCAGTAAGATTCGTGAAGAATATAAGGAAAGGAGCAATTTGGTAATAGATTTACAAAGTATGCATTTTAATACTTTGATTTTTGGATTACTTTCCTTTCCCTTTTGCAGGTAAAATTTGACTCATCAGAATCAAATCATACCAGACTGGAGGAATTTTCCTACACACCTATGGACTGACAGAATCACATAAGCATTTCCCAAGGAGAACATTTTCAAGTTAATTACCTATATTAGTTAATACCTAATGTATTAGTTTAGTGAAATGAAATGATTGTTTTAGATACTTCGGGCATTCAAGAGAGTTTAGTAATTGATTATGTACTCAATGTTCTAATCAATTGGCACTCTAACTAATAATACACATAAATATTCATCACAAAATGGTAGCACTCAAAAAATAAATAATTGAAAAGTATCAACTGGAACTTACCTATTGAATAATGGAAGCTGAATCATCAAACTTAGGAAGGGAGCATTTTTATAATTTTTCATCTCTCCATGATCTGTATCATCATCATCTTTTTAAAGGATTCACTTTAAATTTCTACCTGCTAGTGAACAAATCTAATAAACAAGAAACTATTAAGGACACCTGAGTATAGTGTTAGATTCACTTTGGTCTTTGCCATGAGGAGAAAAAGACCTACACAAAGACCATAAAATCTAGAAAGTTCAAAGTGAATGTCATATTGGAATTGTGGTCACATTACAATGAGACAAAACTGACATTTTTATACTAAAGATCAATTGAGAACAATTTATGAATATGATCCCTAGATCACTTATGTCCTGATCAACTCGTTCTCTTAACGATTTAATCGTCTTTGTCTGTCATATCTCCACACCTTTCTTTAACACATCAGCTCGTCCTTCACGAACTCTGAATTACAAATCTTTTTGTCTTTAAGTGACGATTTGTTTCTCTGATCTTTTAGAATTATTCATGAGTTGTACCATCAACTCATTATTCATTTTGAAGGATCTACTTATCCTTTCAAAGAATAGATGTTTGTCAAGATATAGACAAAATGATTTTTCATTGAATGATTCCCATTAACTACTTTTTTTTTAATCTTCTTGCTCGATCCTGTGGATTTTAGTGTTGAGGAACATGCCTCAGAGCTTGGTGAAGAAGATGAAGGTGGTGAGTAGTCAAATGATGCATTGGCTTGTTTGTGGGTTTTTTTACCTTTATCAGTCACTTTCATTGGCTCGGGTAGCAAGGTTTGACCCTTAACGAACACAGAATTTAAACGTCTACTTGTAGAAGGGTCTGTGGGTTTGGTCAATAAGACATGTGATGAAGAGCTGGGATTGTAGCCAAGTCTGGCTCTATCCCCTGATGGTCTTTGATCATCCATCATTCGATCCATTATTTTGGACGAATTAGTGAATGTTGCAATGAACTTGCGCAAGTTTTGCTCTCTTATTTCTCTTGATTTGCACTCTTCTTTAAGAAGAAGAACTTGCTTCTCGAACTGACTAATGGTGCTAAGCATCTCATTATTTTTTTAGCACGATGCTCTTGAGCTCTTCACGTTCAATCAATAGTCGAGCATTCTCTTCTTTTAGCTTAGAATATGTGCTTTTCATAAATTTAAAATCCTTCATCAGTTTCATAACCAAATCCATTGGATTTTCTTCACTACCAGAACTATATTCACATTGAGTTGAGAAAGAGGATTGAGAATTTACCTTATCCTCCTTAGCCATTAGACACATGTTGTCATCGCTTTCTTCATGGTTGTAGAGACAAAGAAGTCCTTTCTCGTTTCCAAAACTGTCACTGTCTGAACTAGAACTAGAAGAGCATGGCTCAGGTTCAACTTTCTCAATTGCTTCATCAACGGTCAGTGCTTTCCTTCGTCTATCACTTCGAGGATTATTTACTAATTGATCGCATGTTGCTGAGAATACTAGTGCTTTGGTCTTGGTCCTGGTATTTATGGACCACCAGATATGGACATTCATCCTTAAAGTGTTTAGGTTTCTTACAATTGTAACACAACATTTAATTTGCATATCCTCGGGTTCTCGCTTCTTGAAACCACTCGTTCTTTCAGAGTGCCTTCGGTTTGAAGAACTCGATGTTGCTGATGCATCCTGGAAGTTGTTCATCCTCATGAACCTTTTAAAATTTCTCACAAACAAGGCAAACTGTTCATCAGTTAAGAAATCAGAAGGATTTAAATCTGACCTTGCTGAGGTGGTTGGTTGTTGATGGGCAACGAGAGCGACATTCTTTGGTTCGGGCTCTTCAGTGAGCTTTGGTTCGTGTTCGAACTCATATGCTTTTAGGTCACTGAAGATTTGTGACATTGAAACTGTCTTGAGGTCATGATGATCCCTCATAGTAGTAACCTTCATCTCCCATGCTTTTGGTAGACCATGAAGTATTTTCAAATTAATCTCCTTTTGGCTTGGCACCTTCCCAATGTCTATGATCTCGCTAAGAAGCTTCATAAATCAGGTCTCCATTTGACTGATAGATTCACTGGGATTCATCTTGAAATCTTCAAATCTCTTCATAGTTATTGTTAACTTGTTCTTTCTTCATCACCCTCTCCTATTTGTATGAGGATTTCCCAGATGTCTCTGGCGGTCTTGCACTTTCTAACCCTTGGAAATAATGATTCGTCCAGTGACTTATTAAGAATGTCTCAGGCCACATTGTTCAGATTTACTCGTGTAAGTTCTTCTGATATGTAGGTGTGCTTGGGAATCATCTCATGCGCATCTGGGCCTTCAGCAATCTTGTTTGTATTTACCATCATGATAGTTATGGGTCCATCAGTTATCACATCCCACATTTCATCATGTATGGATGAAAGATGAGTCTGCATAAGAATTTTCCAGTCATCAAATTTAGCAAGATTGAAAGCAAGAGGTCTAGAATGATGGTTATGATTCTCCATTTTGAAAAGTTTGTGTAAAGATGAAAAATAGATTTTAGATACTTTTGAACTGGGATCTACCAGGTAGTATACACAAAGCGTTTACCGGTCAAGGAAACTACTCTGATTCCACTTGTTGGTCCCGAAGAATGAGGAGACAAATCTAGAGCGGGGGGGGGGGGGGGGGGGGTGAATAGATTCCTTGGATTTTTGAATTTTATGACGAATCGTTAAGTCCGATAGCTTAACAACTTGTTAAGAGTTTAAATGCACAACGGAAAAAGTTTACCCCTTTTTGAGTTTCTTTGCACGAGTTCTTACTTAGATAAATGATTGAGAATGCAATAAGAAATGTGATGAAGAGATGAATGCAGTGTGAAAAATAGAGAGAGAGAGAGAGAGATTTATATAGTGGTTCGGCTGTTAATTAAGCATACTCCACTCTACTTCACAACTGGTGAAGGTTTGCACTATCTTCTTAGTACAAAGCCACTCAAAGATTGTTCCTTGACACAAACCTGGACACAATATCAAGATATAGGTATTTTGACTATCTCCAGTCTACTCCGCCTCTATCTATTTATCCAATTAGAGGAAAGATGATGTGATGATTTTCTTTTTCCCCCAGCTGAGAAGCTTGGCATGAACTGAATGAAGATGATGATGTAGCTCAAGCTTCCTTTGAATCTAGATAAAGAATAGAGAACTTTTCTCTCTTGCACTGCATTCTCAAGCTTTTTATGAGAACTAGATGAGCTTGTAACTAGATGATTTTCAGACTTGTTGTTGTGTGTTCTCATCCTTGAGAGGGTAAGCTATTTATACGGGTGAATTTTGTTCTGTTGGAGAGGAAGACAAAATTTCAAACACCCTATTATCCAGTGGGTAGAGACCTTAGGATAAAGAGTGCATGTGGGTGTCTGTACTATTTAGCCGTTGATTGATGAAGTGTGCTGACAGTTTTGTCACTTATCACTACGCAAAAGGACAAGGCATTTATGATATTTTGACTTAGGGATTTGTTCCTAGGACTCCTTTTGTCCCAAACAAATATCCCACATACGAGATTATGAACTATTCATGCTCAGAGGATGTCTCTGGCTAGTTCTCACAAATTGCTGATATGGAGATCAACTCGTGTGCACTCTTGATTGGTTGACTTTTCCAATCATCCAAATAATCAACGAATGACCTTTTATTAATCATTTGGCCTTGACATACCTCAAAAGATGGACCCTTCCATGATTCGGTCTCTTGTAACCTTTTGGACTTCAAAATCTTCAAGTCTTCAACTCTTCCTGTCTTGATTCGACCTTGCTGACTACTGGTGATTTGTTACATAGGACGATTCAACTCGTTCTTTATACATACTAAGTACCACAAGTTGATATCTAGATAACTCGGGTTTGAGACTTGAAAACTTAAAACGAATTAGGGGTCTAAGTTCCTAAGCTTGGTATAATCAAAATCTAATTACAGGAGTATTCCTAACAAATTCTATTGAGGATCCGCTCATTGGTAATGTTCCGCTTTAAGCAATAGTGTTGTTCACTTTGCAAGTCTTTCCTCTAGAGCATTTTTTAATAGTATGTGGATAGTTTATCCTATTGGCTCCACTCTAAACAAGATTGAATTAGATGTTGCCCATTTTTGTCCACTGCGCATTTCACTATCAATAAATAATTCTTGTTCTTGTCTCTCCACTCCGACTACACATATTACTCTTGAGCTTTATATGACATTATTGAACTGGTGCATACTTATCCTGTGTACCTAGAAGAGGGCTTCTCGGTGTCTACTACGGTTCTTAAAAGACCCTAGAATAGAGTGAAAGTTGTCTAGTGTATAACGCTTCGTTAACTAGAAGAGGGCTATCCGATGTCTGCTACGGTTTTAAAGAACCCTAGAACAGCCCAGAGTGAAAGCTATCTAGTGTTCGGTGTTCCTTAAACTGATTACCTGGAAGAGGACTACCCGGTACTTAATATGGATCCACAAAGCCCTGATAAGAGTCTGGTGGGAAAGCTTTCCAGTGTCGATATACCTCTCATATACTCCCATTGTAAACCTCTCCACTGATTACATGGAAGAGGGCTACCTGGTACTTAAAATGGATCCAAATGGACCTGAGAATAGTCCAGTGTAAAAACTTTCCAGTGTTGATTTACCTCTACTATACTCCCATTGTGCACCTCTCCAATTTCATATTTTATCTACATTATATCAATTGCATGCTCTTAACTGACTGGTTTTGCATTGTTCAATACTTCTTGCTATGGTTACGTTACCTTTGGCTGCTGTTTTTCAAAAAGGTGAGACATATGATTGTTAGCAATTTTAATATAAACTAACCTCCAGCCATAGTTGTTTTTCAATAGATTGCCTTGGATTGCTGTGAACTGCTTTGGTTGTTGTTGTAGTTGTACAGTAGGGTGTCTCCCACTTTCTCACAGATTCAAAGGATGGTGTATAGAATGTCAAAATGACAGTAATCTGTGCAGTGGGGGGCCTGTCCTTTTATAGTCTATATGCCATCAATATAGACTTTGTAACGGTTTCCGTTACAACCGTTACAACACTTAATTGGCTCCTTCTTAATGACCATAAACTTGCACCATTCATTATGTTTTCAAATGGAACCGGAGACGCTCGAAGGAGGCTGATTCACGGAGATATATTTTCATACTCAAGCAAGAATCAGCAGATGAATTATTTGATCAAATTGATATGTCAGAACATTTATGAAGGACAAGAAATGTCAAGCTAGCCACGCCTAACTTATTCAAATTTTGGAGGCTACAAATTTCAAGAGACGGCAACGGGCAAAATATTCAAATTGTCTGACAAAAGACGAATGACTACTGCCTAACGTTGCAGATCAAATTGACAACTTTATTTTGATTAACTACATACGAAGATGGACGATCAAGATCGAAATTTTATCAACGGGCAAATAGCTTTCATTGGCTATAAATTGTCAAGCAGACTTGAAGACAAGCAGCGATTCACAACAGAGCAGTTGAGACCCCGAAAACAAGAGCAGAGCAATATTTCTAATTAGCCAAAAAGGGGGAAACAGAGCTTCATAGAACAATATTCAAGTCTGAGTGAGAGAGAAATATTTTATTTCTTTGTAATCTTCTCTACTGAGTGTAGAAAGAGGGCGGAGTAACTAGAGAGAGTGAAAAACCCTGGTTGAGTGTAGCTTTGTGTGTAGCACTCGTTGTAAAGGGTAGAGTAACAAGAGGAGCTTGTGAAAACCCTGTGAGAGCGTAACTTTGTGTGTAGTTCTCGTGGTGTAGGAGTACAACTTGGTGCGAAGTACTCGAGGAAGGCGAAGTAACAAGAGGAGCTTGTGAAAAACCTTGGTGGAGTGTAGCTTTGTGCGAAGCACTCGGGAAGTGTCGGTGGACACTGATTCATTATTGTATCTGGGTGATCAAAGAATAGTGAATTTCCTCCTTGGAGTGAAAGGAGAAGAGTGGAGTAGGAGAATTACACCATCTCCGAACCACTATAAATCTCTCTCTCTCTCTCTCTCTCTCTCTCTCTCTCTTTACTTAATGCTCATTTATTTTGTGCATGCTTATTCTAACTGTGAAGTAACCTGATTACGATTTATCGCATATCTTTAGCTATCTGGGTTTGATAGTTCCCTCGTTCGCATGCAAGCCAAAATTTACATACATCATCTTTAAGTCATATCAAGTGTATCTAACGTGTTGCATGTTTAGAATCTCTCTTTGAGCACTACACAATCAAGCATAACACTTTACCGCTATCTTTCTGCTGCACACTCTAAGTTGTATAACTTGCATTGTTTATGCTTGTTATTTAGAGTTGAAATTACCAAAGTGTTTTTGCCTTGTGTGTTTTGTAAAATTTGTAAAAAGTTAGAGAAGTCTATTCACCCCCCCCCCCCCCCTCTAGAATTCTCGCCATCCTTTTGGGACCAACATATATTTTCGCCTTGATGTACATTGTACTAAGCCAATTGGACTTATTCCATCGCTCATATAGTGCAATGTCATCTTGGGTACTGTCTTCAGTGGGGATCGGTGGTTTCTCGTTATGGATAACAATGTCCAAGTCTTTCCACCCTAAACTAAGAAGAACCCTTTCTTTCCAAATTTTGTAGTTGTCACCCCTAAGTTCGGGAACTTCGATGTTCAAATCAGTATGAGTAACAGATTGAGATGCTGTAAAGGTAATGGTTTGGATTAGAATTTTGAGGCATAGAAATAACTGAATTGCATACATTACCAATGTAAATGATGCATGTCAAAGATCCAAATGCCATAAAAATTGTCTGTGGGCTAAATTTTTAAGCAAAAGGGACCTTTGAAAATTTTAGTATAGAAATGGGATGGGAACAAGGTTGAATTTCTATTCTCAACGATAAAACTACCAAGGACTATATGCCGATACATAAATGCCTGTGGGCTAAATTATGATCATAGTTTGGTATTTTTGATCCTGATTAACCATACAAATATAACAAAATTGTATGTGGGCTAAATTTCATTATATTACATATAATTAATCACAATTTATGTCTAAACTTTATGTGATTTGAAAAAGCTTGATATACAATTTTAATTAAATTAAGGATGTTGTGGCTACTCCTTAATTAACTAAATTTGTATTATCACATCGGCATAGATTTAACAAAACAAACTATGTACTCAACATGATAAGCAATTACCAAGTATAATCCCAGTAAAGTTGGTCGAGATGAAACTCGGTTAAATACCAACTCCTTAGACAGAGTAGGATTCCAAGGGAACTAGTAGCATATTGGCTATTCTAGTTTTCTTCCCAAGAAATTTTCCCCGGTTCATGTATTCTCATATTATAGCATAACTGTTTTGAAGGGTTTATTCAAAACTTTGATGTTCACGGTTTGGAAAAAGGCTTTAAGAATAGGTGAAGTTTTGAACTTAATGTGCTAACCTTCAGGCACTACCGTAGTCGTACTAAACCTTATGTACTACTATAACCGCAATATGCTAAAGTCCAAGTACTAAGGAATTCAACAAACTCCTAAAAGACACTACAAAAGTCCAAATACTAAGGAGTTTAATAAATTCCTAAACATTCATTTCTAAGGCATAAAATATAAATCGCATAATTAAAATAACTAAATATTATGTTAATTGGACATAACATGCATATTACAAATATATAAACTCATATGAAACAAATAAATTGCACAAACATTATAGCAATTTAAAACATATGAGCGTACTATATAATAAAATTCAAATTCAAATTATAATTTAAATAAAAATTTTATTATAAGGACAATAAAAACATCCAAATTTCAGGCCCAAAATAATTTAAACAATTAATAATTTATATGAACTCAGGCCCAAACCAAATTAATACTCCATCAACCCAAAACTTAATTCTCAATCAAAATAGCTACCCTAGTTGGCATCTTCAGATCTCCAAACCAGCAGCCGAAAAAAAAAGAAAAAAAAAACACGATCGATGGAGAAAGATCAGAGAAACCGACAAAGCGGAGAGGGCCAGAAGCCGAGGGCTAGCAAAGCCGTCACCACCTTTCTCCACCGCTTGCCACCGTCGCCGGCCAAACCAGCTCTGCCACTGCTGCCGTTTCGATGCAACGCCAACGCCGAGCCAACCTAGCCTTGTCATCGGTCGTTGCCTGAAGAGGAAAGAGGGGCAGCGACGTCGCCGGGAACCAGTTTCGCCGCCACCACCTGTCCTCTACGCTAATCACCGGAGAAAATGGCGCACCGACGACCATCTAAAACCGTTACACAGTCGCCGGCGAGCGATCTGATCAGAATCGGAGAAGATAAATTCTCCACAACAACAGGTTCATTTTTATTTTTATTTTTACATTTGTAGTTTCGAAAGAAAATATATCATATGAATTTTGTATATACTTTCCTAAATGCATACATGGTAACATATGTGCAAATATGTTCATATGCAAATTCATATGTAAATTTCTCTTAAAACATATTACGAAACACACACACACACACACACACACACACACACACACACACACACACACACACACACACATATATATATATATATATATATATATATATATATATATATATATATATATACACACACACACACAAATGTTCATATGCATATTCATAAACATGTATACAATTACTGGAAAGATGTAATCAACAGGATATGAATATGCATCAATATTTGCTCTATTTTTCTTTGCTAAAACATAGGCAGTTTGAACAACTAGGTAGAGATAAAACAGGTTCTGATACCAAATGTAAGCAATTTTAATATAAACTAACCTCCAGCTATAGTTGTTTTTCAGTAGATTGCCTTGGATTGCTGTGAACTGCCTTGGTGGTTGTTGTAGTTGTACAGTAGGGTGTCTCCCACTTTCTCACAGATTCAAAGGATGGTGTATAAAATGTCAAAATGACAGTAATCTGTGCAGTGGGGGACCTGTCCATTTATAGTCTATATCCCATCAATATAGACTTTGTAACGGTTTCCATTACAACCGTTACAACACTTAATTGGCTCCTACTTAATGACCATAAACTTGCACCATTCATTATGTTTTAAAAAGGAAAACGTTACAATGATATGAACTAAGTGGGAGAAATTGATGTGTATATGAATTGATGGGGAGATTTTGTTGTATACAAACGTGCAAACATTTTTGGATCATTGGATTTTGGGTATCTAAGGTTGTGATTAGTTTTTATGATTTTGTGTGCTGCCCGCCTGTGTGCACTGCCGTTCATGGATGTGTGCACGTCGGCCAAAATACTGTGGATTCACACATGCATACTACATTGGATGTGTGCATACCTGCATTTAGGTATGTGTACGTTATATGTTCACATGTTTGTATTTTAAGGGTGTTTGCATGTGAATGCAACCTTTTATATATATATATATATATATATATATATATATATATATATATATATATATATATATATATATATATATATTAGTTAGTTGGCATTAGATCCAAGAAACATGTGGATGTGGAAACAAGCATGGATTATGGACAAACAAGTGGTTAGGGGTGTCAATACGGGCCGGCCCGCCCCACCGCGGGCTTTTTATTTAGCGGGCTTTGGCGGGCCGGCCCGCGAAGCCCGCGGGCTTGGAACTATACAACCCAAGCCCGCCCCATGCGGGTTTGCGGGTCTCGCGGGCCATCACTTAAATTTAAAAAAAAAAACATTAAATAGTATAGAAACATGTTAAAACCGCTTGAAATATGGCACTGGAAACTTTCATAAAATCCATAAACCTCACCCAAATATCCTGGATCGATACCGCACGTTCAGTAGGACTATAGAAGGGTGATCAAAGCTAGGGTTCAACAGCACACTCAATTTCTCTCTCGGCTTCAGATTTTCCCTCTACAATTCCCGTCTGTGTATAATACATATATAAATATGTATGTTTGCTTGACTTGGAGGCTATTTAGTAATTCATAAATATGTATGAATTGATGATTTAGTTTTAGTAATTATTTGATAGAGTTGGAGGCGGATGGAGACGGGAGAACCGAAGAACTACGTACTCTAGGAATTATTGAATTAAGAATTGGCGAAGGATTATTGAATTATTGGATTTCTCCCCTTCTGCGTACTCTTAGATAGTTAGATCTAAACATTGCCTAAGAATTAAGATATTATATATATGATTTTTTTAAAAATAGATATTATATATAATTTATTTATTTATTTTTTAAATATGGCGTGGCCCGCGGGCTGGCCCGCAACCCGCGCGGGCTCTGGCCCTCCGCGGACCATGCCCGTTAGGCTCGCATTTTCGCAATCCTAATTTCTTGCGGCCCTAACCCGCCCCATTGCGGGGCGGGTGCGGGCTAACCCGCGGGCTTTGGCCCACTTTGACACCCCTACAAGTGGTGTATGTGTGTGCATAATGTGGGATATAATTACAAAAGAAGTGTGCGGTTATTTGTGTGGAAGAAGTGGGAATTGGTAATGAAATTAACATGGGTTAGTGGAAATATTGTAGCAGTGATTCAAGGGACAAAAGAAGATTTCAACAATATAAATAGAAGACATTATAATGTAGAGAGCAAAGTTTTCAAAACGGGAAAAAAAAGCAATATCATTCTCTAATGTGCTAAAAATGATTGTTTGAAAGACGCTACAAGGGAACTTCAAAAACGGGAAGGATTGGTGTACTATCGAGAAAATGTAGCTTCACGTTATTCAGTACAAACTGTGTTAAAAATCCAGGTTGGTTACAGTTTGTTTAATTTGTAGAATTTGTTCAAATTGTATTGTATACTTTTTCGTGGAGTTGTGCTTATGAGGTCAATGTATAAATAGGTGGTAGACCTAATTTTGTAATTCATTGAGCATTGTAATTGTAAAAACCGTGGGTTGATCTTTAATTAAAAAGTTTTTGGGCTTGGCCCCGCAGATTAGGAGGTGTTCTCCAACTGCGTTTTCAAATTTAACTGTGTACTTATTTTGGCGCTTCATTTATTTTTACATATTGTGTTACATATCTGCATTACATAATAATAATAATAATAATAATAATAATAATAATAATAATAATAATAATAATAATAATAATAATAATAATAATTATTATTATTATTATTATTATTATTATTATTATTATTATTATTATTATTATTATTATAATTATTATTATTATTATTATTATTATTATTATTATTATTATTGTTGTTGTTGTTGTTGTTGTTGTTGTTGTTTTGGGTATTAATGATAGCTTTATCTCTATTTCGTATGTTTTAATGGTTTTAAATTATGCTGAAAATTGAGGGTGTTACAATTGGTATTAGAGCCTAAGTTCGATCCTAGGATAATGCCTTTAGGATAAGACTTTAAGATGTTAAGTTGGAATCACTAGGTGTTTAAGTACTTAGGTTAAGAAGATTTTAGGATGCACGGTGAGCTTGTGAGTTTATTTATCGCTTTCTGTTAAAAGTATCCTATGCTTGCTCTCTGTCTAGCTTTTATTCTTGTAATTAAGACGCCAGGTAAGGGTGCCTGCTCCTAACCCACATCTATAACCGATGTTAACCCTGTAGAATCTAAGATGACACCACCAATAAACCATGCAAGGACCCCTGAGACACCGATTAATGAACAGTTGGCTCAGAACTTGCATCAATTAACTCAGATCGCACAGGCACTGAGTGACAACCTCCTTAACAACAACAACCGTCCGCCACCGAACGGAAACCGCGTTGTTTCCCGCTAAGTGTCAAACCATCGTCCCCCTATCTTCGCCGGAGAAGAAGATCCGGCAATACTCGAGGAATGGATCCGGATGTTGGATAAGATCTTTGGAGTAGTGGATTGCCCGTTGGAGCATCAAGTCAAGTTGACAACCTTCTACTTTGGGCACGAGGCCGACTTATGGTGGATCCATGAGGGACCGGCCTTTAGGCAAGAACCGAGTTTCAATTGGGAAGCCCTAAAGACCAAACTACGAGAATGCTTTTACCCCGCGCACGTAAGAGCAGCCACGTACAAAGAATTCCTTCACTTACAATAGGGATTCGCCACAGTGGTAGAATACCACAAGAGATTCTTGGAACTGGCTCGTTTCGCTCACGTGTTGGTCCCTACAGAGGCGACCAAAGTAGAGAAATTCGTTGTGGGACTCGACTTCGGGGCTAGAAAGGCCTTAACCGTGAGCAAACCAAGAACCCTCAACGAAGCCTACACCAAGGCGGGCGAGCTCTATCGAATACAACACACCCCTCGGGGATTTCCCGAATCAATTAAGAGAAAGGTCAAGGGAAACATAGTGACCCCTCCAAACAAACCAAAGGTAGCTAGAATCATTCCACCTCAGAATCGAGGCATGTCAATGGTTCAAGCCTCGAGGGACGAAACTGGAGTTATCCAGGGAAGAATTCTTGCTATGAGTAAAGCCCGAATTGGAGACAGTGATGTGGTGGCCAGAACGTTCCTTGTGCATTCCGTGCCCGTCATCGTGTTATTTGACTTGGGAGCCACCAACTCGTTCAAAGCAGCTGAGTTTGCAGCAAGACTCGGGTTGACAACAAGCACTAGCGTACAGTTAAGGGTCAAGGTAGTATCCGGAGAGGTGCTGAAATGTGACCGCATGTTCAAAAATATTATGATCACCATAGGCGGAGTGGAATTACCTAGTGACTTAATCCAGTTTGGACTAGACGATATGCAAGTAATTTCGGAGATGGATTGGCTGGGGCAATTCAAAGCCCAAATCTTGGAAACGGGTATCCTATCGCGGCTCAGTCAAAAACCCAGAAGTTAAATTAGTATCCATGATAAGATGAAGAAGTACTTAACTAAGGGGGGTGAGGCCTTCTTGTGCATCGTAGAAGACCTGGATGCCAAGAGTGATGAACAACAATCAAACCTCGTAGTTAGTGAATTCACGGATGTCTTTCCCGAGGAGATCCCTGGTATGCCTCCACCTAGGGAAGTGGATTTCACAGTGGACTTGGTATCAGGTAGTGCCCCTATATCAAAGTCTCCTTACAGACTGGTACCAAAAGAGATGCAAGAATTAAAAGGGCAATTACAATACTTGTTAGATAAAGGCTACATCCGCCCTAGTACTTCGCCGTGCGGAGCCCCGGTGCTATTCGTAAAGAAGAAAGATAGGAGTATGCGACTGTGTATCGACTATAAAGAGTTAAACCAAGTCATAGTAAAGAACAAGTACCCCCTCCCTTGAATCGATGATTTAGGGAGCGGGCTTATTTTCAAAGATTGACTTGAGGTCCGGGTACCATTAAGTGAAGGTAGTCCGACTAGGACATTCCAAAAACGGCTTTCCGAACCCGATACGGCCACTATGAATTCACCGTAATGCCTTTCGGTTGACTAACGCCCCCGCTGTGTTCATGGACTTCATGAATCGCGTGTTTCGTCCCTATCTAGATGATTTCGTGATTGTGTTTATTGACGATATCTTGGTCTACTCTCGGAATCATGAAGAACACGAGAAACACCTCCGGACGGTGCTGCAAACGCTAAGGGAAAAACAATGATATGCCAAACTCTACAAGTGTGAATTCGGGAAGGACAATGTGGCGTTCTTAGGCCACGTAGTGACCAAGAAAGGAATCATAGTGGATCCAGTAAAGATCCAAGCAGTTAAGGGTTGGCCAACACCAACGACAGTTGCGAAAGTTAGAAGCTTTCTCGGATTGGCTGGTATTATCGAAGGTTCGTGCCTGATTTCGCTAAAGTGGCCCATCCCATGATGAGGCTCATGAAGAAGGAAATTCCCTTCTAGTGGGATGTGGATTGTAACTTGGCTTTCCAAGAGTTGAAGGAAAGGTTGACGACAACACCCGTATTAGCGCTGCCATCCGGGTTAGGAGGGTTCGAAGTTTACAGTGATGCCTCAAAGAAATGCTTGGGTTGCGTACTGATGCAAAACGGTAAGGTGATCGCATATGCATCTAGGCAACTCAAAACCCATGAAGAGAATTACCCCACCCACGACTTGGAATTAGCAGCTGTGGTTTTTGCTTTGAAAATTTAGAGGCACTACCTGTATGGGGTACAATGCAAAATTTACACTGACCACAAGAGCCTAAAGTACATCTTCACTCAAAAGGATCTAAATATGCGACAGAGGCGGTGGTTAGAACTCATAAAAGACTACGATTTGGACATCCAATACCACGAGGGAAAAGCTAATGTGGTGGCGGATGCACTAAGTAGAAAAACGAATCATTCCCTTAACACCACGTGGGTTTTGGAGGATGAGATGTGCAAGGAATTCTAGAGAATGGGCCTGGAAGTGGTAGAACAGGGACACGTGGGCAGGGAGATCCAATTACTCAACATGAGGATCCTTCCCACATTGTTTGAGGAAATTAAGAACGGGCAGCTGCAAGATACCGAGTTAAATAAAATAAGGCTCAGCATAGCGGAAGGGAGAAAGGGATCATTCGAGTTGTTTGGCGATGGCAGCCTTCATTATAAAGGACGGTGGTGTGTGCCCACGATGTGCGAGCACCTTAAGACACAAATCCTGGAAGAAGGACACAGTTCACCATACTCCGTGCACCCCGGAGGTGATAAACTATACAAGGATGTAAAGAAACAATTTTGGTGGCCTAACATGAAGGGAGAAGTGGCGAATTTTGTGACTAAATGCCTGAACTACCAAAAGGTAAAAGCTAAGAGATGTAAACCCATGGGACTAGTGCAACCACTAGAAATACCTCAAGGGAAGTGGGATTCCATCTCTATGGACTTTGTGGGAGGTTTACCTGTGACATGGACGGGTAAAGACAAGATATGGGTAATTGTAGACTAGTTGACCAAGACAGCACGATTCATTGCCATGAAGGAAACATGGACAATGAACCAGTTAGCCAAGCGGTAAAATACCATGGGGTTTCGCGAGACATTGTTTCGGATAGGGACTCAAGGTTCCTATCTCAGTTTTGGAAATCCCTACAATCAGCAGGGGACAAGATTAAAACTGAGCACCGCGTTCCACCCCACAACCGATGGCCAAACGGAAAGAACAATTCAAACCCTTGAAGATATGTTAAGGGCTTGCATGTTAGACTTCCAGGGATCGTGGGAAGAGCACCTGGATTTAATTGAATTCTCATATAATAATAGCTATCATGCGAGTATACGTATGACACCCTACAAAGCCTTGTATGGCCAAAAGTGTAGGAACCCTTTATGCTAGGAAGGTACCGTTAACCCCGTGACTTTAGGACCTCAGTACTTGCAAGACACGATCAAGAAGATCAAGTATATTTAGGGAAGGCTGAAAACGGCTCAAGATCGCCAAAAGTCTTATGCCGATTTGGGGAGGAGACCGGCCGAATTTCAAGTAGGAGAAAAGGATTGGTTAGAAATTTCCCCCACCCGGGGAGTGATGAGGCTTGGGAAAAAAGGAAAAGTTAAGCCCCCGGTTTATTGGTCTATATGAGGTCTTGGAAAGGGTGGGAAATCTGGCGAACCGCTTAGCATTGCCTGACGAATTAGAACGCGTACACAATGTCTTCCATGTGTCTCAACTAAAGAAGTACGTGCACGACGCTACTCATGTCCTTCAACCTGAAGTA